AATAAGCTTTATATTTTCAGAACCAGTTTAACCAGTGCTGAGTAAAAAGTTGAGGGGAAACAGCCAAGAAAAGATTTAAGAGGAATAATATTATCCTGTCCCTTAGTCTCTTATGATCCTTAAAGACAAGGTAAGCTACTTAAGCATACTGCATTAAATGTAGACCTAAAATTATTGAGGTGTAACATAAAAAAGATATAGCCTATGCAGTATGCATACCAACATGTTGGGTCATGCATATAAAACTACCACATGAGTTGTGAAGGAACATGTTTCAAGAAGTTGCTGATTTGTTATCTTTTGTAATATTTGACCTGATCTGCCACTTGAAATTTTGCATTACTGTTAAAATAATTTTACTACTTTACTGCTTTTACCATCAGTTCTATGAACTAATATAGTGTATAATATTCAAACAATTGTCTGTCTGTCTGTCTGTACTTAGAATAGTCTTTCTCTTTTACATATTGATTCAGCTGCAGTCCACAAAGCATGAATGATCCAGAGAGGCAGGCTGGTGGTGGTGATGGCAGCAAGTTGAATTATGCCCTGATTGGGTCCATGTTGGGAATCGCTGCCTTTGGTATGTACTACACAACACTATTGCCCTTAAGGGTGCTTTACTAGTGTGTACGGACATTGTGAAAAATTGCATGTAAAAGTTTATTTTCCCCTTTTTTTCCTGTGCTCTTAGGGTACATCAAGTCCACGCTGTTTCAATTTAAATTCAGGGATACCAAAATCGAGATTCATCATCACGCCCTGGATTCCCAGAATCAGAAACCTAAGGAAAAAGGTGATCTCATGAGGTTGGAAATAAAAAACGAAATATCTAGAGCGTTTCAAAAGGCCCTGGAAATGGAAACAAAACAAGAGGAGAGTGCTTCAGTCTTTCTGAATCAAGTAGAGCACAGGCTGATGGAAAGACAATGGGATTTTTGCAGTTATTTTGTGCGTTCTCCAAAGATGGTGGCGAGGGAGAAGGAACTGTTGGTTTTTACAGCCAAAGAGTCCCTTCTTGCACATCTGAAGATGGAGGATGGTCTCAGGGATATTTTTAATAATGATCGCACTTGTGCCAATTTATTTAACACAGATGAGCGCAGGAACGGGAGTCTGATGTGGCTGTATCTC